TCAACCTCCACTCACAGATCACCCACCTCCCCTTCTTCACCTAAATGTACTCTTATGCTTCTACGGTCACCGTCACAAACGACCCACGTCTCGCAACTGATGGAAGCACCAGCCAAACTCGCGGTTTTCAATGTCCTGCGGTAGCAACCGCCTCTCATTCTACTGAAGCTCCAGCTCTTCTTCGATCTGGTTCTTCATTCATCATCGCAGCGTTTAATGTTCGAACTTTTATGCAGATAGGACGACAAGCATGTCTGGCCCGTACTCTTGAAACGCTTTCGGTAGACATCTGTTGCCTTTCAGAGACCAGATCACAAGACTCTGGCGCCCTCATCTGAATGGCCTCTCCGATAAACTCTGACGCCAAATACCACTTGCGTCTTTCCATAGACCCAGAAGCTGCCGCCACTGGCCAAGCTAGTGTTGGGGTTACACTGAGTGCCAGGGCTGAATCAGCTCTGCTTGACTGGATCCCAGTCAAAAGTCGGCTATGTGCAGTACGAGGTTCATGTAACGTAAGTAAACATCGAGACGTTAAGCGTGCCTTGTTTGTCGTTTCCGCCTACGCCCCTACAGACTGCAGCCCGGATGCAGTTAAAGGTAGCTTTTACCAGCAGCTACATGAACTTCTGCGTTCCTCAAAAAGGACTGATATAGTCATTCTTGCCGGGGACTTTAACGCACGGGTTGGCCGCCTTCCACCAAGCGAGCACCACCTTGGGGGTAGTTTTGGTCTCATTGGCAGTCGATCAGACAATGGAGACAGACTGCTTGCTCTTTGCTCTGATCATCGCTTGTTTCTTTCGAGCACTAGTTTTCGGCACTCGAGGAGACACACTGCTACCTGGCACCCGCCCTCACAAACGCAAGAGTGCTTCCAGCTTGACCACATAGCAATCAGCTACAGATGACGCGGAAACGTAACGGACTGCCGATCGTACTGGTCAACTTATCTGGACTTCGATCGCGCATTGGTTCGTGTTAAGATTTGCATGCGTTTCGGAGGATCACCCAAGCGCGCTCACTACCGATCGGACGTCGCAAATCTACAATACTGTGATTTCAACCAGGTACCAAGCCTCACTGTCAGCGTTTCTTGGCTCAACTATTGACGGTGATCTCGATTCGCAGTGGACACAGATCAAAGATGCTTATTTTCCGCCATTATCGACCCTTGTGGAGTTGCCCGTCACTCACGGAAGCATTAGATTACCGCCGTCTCCTTGTCGCTGATGGACAAACGCCGCTTGATCCCGTCGGATTCCAGCCACAGGGAAGAACGCCAATCCCTTGGTCAGGAGTTGCGCAGGAGTCTGCAAATGGACCGAGAAGCTTGGTGGTGTGAACCTGCTAGGGAGATGGGGCTTGTTAGTCTTTCTGGTAATATCAGAAAACTTTTTCATCTTGATGTACTGGTAGCCCGGGTTGATCGTTCCTGGGTTCAACTGTTCGCCGAGCTTCGCAATTGGTATGCAAACACCACGCGCGGTGAGTTCTTCAGTGCGCTGCAGGGTCAAACGTAATCCGCTGACTTGGTGGTCGATTGGTGATTGATTAGCAAGTAACTTTTGAATTGACCTTCTCAATCCGTCTACCCAGATTCTCTGGTAGATATGGGCATTCCGTAGGATGGTTTTGTCCCGGCTGTTGCGGCTGTATTATTAACGGCTCGGTTAGCTGCTCTCGACGGTTTTTAACTTGTTTTAATTCTCTCCGTCTTAGCGTTTCGTAAACCGGGTCAATCTCGACCTGCATGTTTACCGAGTGCTCCGTCGAGTACTATGCCTCGAGGAACTCTCTTCCTCTTCGTGTCTCTCCTTGTGCTAGGATCTCTGCGTTGTTCCCGTCGAAGGGATGTCCTTCGTTTGTTTGTATTGAAACCAGTGAGAGAGCGTAATGGTTCTTATAAGCTCTCTTATGCTCTTGTATTCTTGTACACAGTTGTCTTCCTGTCTGACCCACATAGTTCTTATCGCAATCTTGACACCGTATCTTGTACATAGCACTTCGTCTTTCGTGTGCTTTAGGTCTAGCTTTGGGTTTCTGCAGGATTCTCCTCAATGTGGCGGTTGGTTTGTGAGCCACTGTAAGACCGTACTATTTGAATAATCTTGCTGTCATCTCGGAGATGTTGTTTACATAAGGTAGGACGATTCGCTTTGTTGTCGTTTGAGCAGGCTGAGAGGTCGTAGCTTTGTTCTTTAGACATCGCCGGGCAAAGCTGTGTGGATATCCATTTAGGTGAAATCATCTGAACAGGTATATCTCTTCTTTCCGCTGCGCTTCAAGAGTACTGCCATGTGTTTCAATTCTACGAAAGAGAGACCGCACGCAGCTTATTTCGTGACATTTCGGGTGATTACTGTAGTAGTTTAGAATCTGGTCGGTGTGTGTTCCTTTCCCGGTAAACCGATGTTTGCAACTCTCCACACTTGGAATCCTCCTAGTTGGAACAATGTTTGTGTTTAGTCATCACCGAAGCATTTGTTGTTAAGCTTCAGGTTTGTCTACCTACTTCAATGGGAACAATGTCCCTCATGTCGTCGCAATAACAAGCGCACAAAATTGTCCAACTGCCTAGCGGCCATTGCTGATTCAGCTTAGGGTGTGCAGTGTCCTAGCCACGGCGCATGCCTGACCAACCGCAAATGCAGGCCTGACTGACTCCCTAAGACCTAAGGGACTGCGGAATATCAGTTAGAAGAATCCCTGTCTACGCCAGCATCGTAACCAAGGTTAGGCCGCTGAAATAAATTACCACCACGTAGTGGCTAGCGACCAATAAGTAGAGACCGCTTCATGTGGTAGTTTACATATCCGTCCGCACTGGTTACGTCGTAAGCTTCGGATCATGTAGTAGCTAGGATCTCCTCCTTAGACAGGCATCACAAATTGCCCATTGGGTGTTTTCAGTTTGGAGAGAAATCATCGGTGTTTCCTTCAGACCCGCATCGGCAGCACAGAAGGTGGTGCTCGACCACTTTCATTGGACTGTCTGACGCTTGTGCTTAGGGCTTCCAACCGGTGTCCCATTAACTAACGACCCACGACCAATGAGATTGTCAACGACGCCAAAAAAACGTTCTTAGCCTCGCGAACTTGAAAGCATGGCACGTGCTTTTGCAAATGTGGTAGGCTAATAATGTTTTACAATGGGCTACCTTGCTTGTAAAATGGTAAGGTTCCACGTCACACGCAGGCGCGTCATGCCCTTACTGCCCCGTCGACATGCCCATGTCCAACTAAGCGGAGAAGCCCAGTTCATCTTATTCCATTGGGAGGCATCGGTCCTCCTTCGGATTGGCTTGCCTCAACGTAGGCACACGGTTACAAACCGGTCAACAGGCACGTTTTCGCGAGCATTAGAGATCCACTTAATCAATATTTGCTGCTTATCCAATTTCTGCCTGAGAAGCTCGTGCTGTTTACTCACACTGCGTCCATTCGGGTGACGTTAACCATGCTTCTTCCCTGTGTCAATCCGGAGTTGATGCACTTGTAAGTTCTAGTCAAGCCGGTGTCTGTACTCCTCTTAGTTCCCGGGCTGAGGCTGCTTTGGTTGCTTGCATCCTAATTAGTGTCTGGATGTGTGTCCTCCTGCTGGCTAAATCTTTTAAAACTTCGTAATCATGTGGGGCCAAACGGTGTCTGTTTATCATCGCTCCCTACGAGTCCACAAACTGCAGCGCTGTCTCCGTGAAAGACGACTTCTATCACCAACTGAACGAACTCATTTCACACATAAGCACGGATATTGCACTGCTGGCTAGGAAAGTTGGAAAACTTTACATTGACCTGGACGGCGAACACAGAGTAGGTTTCCATAAAGATAACTGTAAGTGGTTGCTACACATGTGTGAAGATGCTCGCTTATTTCTTGCGAGCACTAATTTTCGCCAACAGCACCCGCCGAAAAATGACGTGACGCTCACCGACCTCGAAGCAGCCATGAACGCAAATCGATCACATGACGATCAGTTATCGCAGGAGAGGCTACGTCCAAAACTGTCGCTCGATTTGGAGCACGAGCGTGGAATCCGATCACGCTTTTGTATATTCCAACCAAAGCCTTCGGTCCCAAAACCTGGCCGCAAAGCAGCGCGTTTGGCGGTGGGTTACATGGAGCCCATTTTAAGGAATAAGGAGCCACTCTCACTCCAACCCCAAATCTGGAGGATCAGGAGACTGCGTTTGTCTAGTCTCTAACCTTTGACCAATCTACTTTGCATGGATCTGAAGATGCAAAATAAGCACCACCCAGCATAGCTTTATGGACCATTGAGGCACGCAAGCCATCGCACCACGGTAAGGTCCAGCCTCATTGCGATGGATGCACTTTATTTCCCTGGAATTGTCAGATTTCTCGCCAGCCAGTGATCGCCTTGCTCGATAAGCTGTCCATCTAGATCCGCCCTCCGCTCCGAAGTCGAACATGTGATCGGACTGCTGAAGTTGGGTAGGGCCACAGGACCAGATGATCTTCCTCCAGCCCACTCCATATTCGGGGACCTGCTCTTGTGGATGATTTACACGAGTTATTAGTGAAACAGAGCAGGAAACAGTCCCAACCGACTGGAGCCGCTCCATTGTTGTCCGATCTGCAAGGGAGGTTTGCATTTGGAATGCGGCAACCATAGAGGACTCAATCTGAATTCCGCCTCCGTTACTTATTTCTGTCATCCTTCACAGACTGACTGGCATTTGGGAAATTCAGATTCGTGAGTTAGTGAAACTCAATATTACACCTCCAGTTCTTTTTATCTTTGTCTGTTGGGTCCAAACAAATACAAAACGCATCGTTCTGTTCTGAGAGAACAACACCGAAAGTTTTGCTTAGTTTTTCTTTGTTTACGTACTTTCTATTTGCGGAACACCTCTGGGAACTGTCCACCAATTTCACACTAAAATAGCAGCCAAATGCTTGGTGTATCTTCTATTCTTCTGGTCATATTTTATACAGCCATTCACTTTACTTCATATTCCTTTGCAGCCATTCAGCGATGCCTCTTGAGAACTTAGAAGAGGAAGGTCTTGAAAAGATTCCTGATTTGCGATTGGCGCAATGGGTATTTCGAGCGGGGTTGGAAAAGACTCCACCTGCTATGAAGGCTGAAGTCAGGGAGAAAATACTGACTGCCATTCGAAGTCAAGGTGTGTCCCAACTCACTTTCAGTTATTGTTCTTCACTATACCCTAAGCTACATTTTCTGTATTTTAATCGTCAGTATTTCGTACAGACCACTTTTCTACTTGGCCGTACTTAGAATCGTCATGTTGTCATCATTTATACATAAATGTGCAGCTGGAGTCAACCCCCTCCAAAAGCTGCCTCTGTTATCCTTTACTCGGTTGATAACTTTATAGCTTTTATCTGGAAAATTTGTTTTATGCTCAGCATTCCATTACGAGACATGATTTCAGACACCATTTGTTGTGAACCTCTTAGACTTATTAAACTATATCTGAAGCTTACATCGAGCTTTAGTGGGAAAGTATTTCGGCCGCGATACCCGATGCTTGGGTCTCTGCTTGTACCACTGTTATTTGTCATAACACTAAGTGCAGGTTATTTGAGATATCTGTGGACCGTTTTGAATCCGGTGCATGATCTCTGCTGACAACGAACACGATGTAACCAAGCGGGCTGTTAGGCGTGAACCCAAGCGCAGCCTGCATGTCAGCAAAGGTAATGGCATACAACTTCACAAATCCATCGATCCTCTCTCAAACCCACTCGTCTGCACCCAACTCACCTTATGTTACAAACGATTATTCCCTTACTTCTTCTGAGATCCGTGCTAATCCTTAAAGCACGCTCATTCAACAACGAAACACAAGGCCGTATTGTTTACACAATCGCGCGTTTATTTATTTGTTTCATACGTTTACTCATCTTCTATAGGTGGGAGAGAATGACGTGACTCCACGTTCTTACATTGTTACTGCTTCTATGCTATTATAAACGACCGTGTTTTTACTTGGGGTTATAACCTACCGTTTGTTCTATTATGGTCTTATTCTCGTTCAATCTGTCTGATGAATTCTACTTAATCTCACAACCTGTGGTGTACCTAAATGTCTCAAGCGATGATAGAGGCGGTAGCAATGGACGATTGTCGCAAACCTCCAACTGATCCGCACTACTAGTCCTAAGAACTTATGCCTCAGTGAGACAACCAGAGGCAACGCCGATGTCTTGTTAGAGAAAAACTCGAGAGCAGTTCATTTGACCACGTGCACGCACTACGTGTGCCCTCTAACCCCTTACGGAAGGGAGCCTTGTTTCTTTTGTTAGCTGCCGGAAGATTTGATGCTCGAGGGGGGCAAAAGTTGACTTAGCAGCGCGGAGTGAAGACATCGACGTCTAAAAGGAATGCTGTCGATCCGTCTGGACTTCTAGACTGAAATGCAGTCGGACATGGCTGGCACTAGTGACTGAGTTTTGTCACCCTCCGGCCGAGTTTCCTGTTAAAACTGTGCTGATGCTATTATCTGGGGTTAGACTGCTTATAACGCGTGGCGGTGAAAGCCGCAAAGAAACTGTCTCACTTATTCCGCCTTAGTTTCACGCGATGGCCAGTATTTTTGTGATCGTGTTTTATTCTCAAGGGGTGGACGTTTGACCCCAAACATTCGCATGGGGCGTTTAGGTTTTACCACAGGTACCGTCTTTCACTCATTGATCATTCCAAATACCATAGTACCACCGTAAGTCGACCACTCAAAGCACTGGGTCAAAGTGGTCAACCTAGAGAGGTCAGCATAAAAAATTAAATAGCGTAATTTAGAACAATGACAAGTAAAACGGTCAACTTAGAGAGCTAGTCAAGATCTAAAGGGGGTCAACTTCGGAACTTTCACTGTGTGACGGTTGTACGACAGCGTAAATTCCGCTCAAGTTGCTGCTGTGCTTCCTTTTGAACTTATGCCGATATTGCCGTTACAAGGTGCTATGGATACTCTGAGACTAACTGCCAGCAACCCATCAGCTATTCAAATATTTCAAATTTGCCAGGGAAGTGGCTTTTGGTCCCTTCTCAGTGCATTGTTGACTCATCAGGACCAAACACACCCATTCCAGTCGTTGCCAACAGTTGATGACGCTGCTCAGTTTGGTTTGGTTTAGTGAATTGAGTGAGCGCTCTGGTGGTCAAATCTTTCGTTTCGCGGCGGCTGAACCGCAGGCTGTGGTAGCGTACACTGACTTTGTAAAAATGATTCGCATCTTACCGTTCATCGAGCTCTACTCACAGGCTTCTGCTTCGCATTTACTGTTAAATGCAAGTTCGTCTTCGTGAGAACCACGAACCATTCAGTCTGTACCAGTGAAAGCACGAACACTATAGCTACCGTCCCTGGCATCCAGGTTGAAACGTTGGTTGGCCAAGTCGTCTCAGTTTTCTTTGATCTTTCCGGAGCTGATACACAAGGGTGAACAAGAGATACCTACTTAGTCTTTGATGTGTGATATGGGTGCAGCATTATCATCCTCGCTATGTACGTTACATAGTAGGGTGGACCTCAGCTATTGTGCCGCAATACACGCGAAAGGATAAAAGACGCAACACAGGTCCGCCAGCTGAGCCAATAGTAACGTATTGATACCGTTTCGGAGAGCTAACAGCCGACTGTTGTGCCGCAAAAAAAACTTATATTATGCGTCAGAAATGAGATCTTTGTTGGAGGAGGAGACTAAGCGGGAGAGAGAGTAAAAATGAAACTCACAACACTAACATCACTGACTTCTGCTCCTAGCCATGTCAACAATTGTATCCAACCTAACGTGTTCATCGTACTTCGGGTCCTAATCAAGGAACAGAGAGGTTTCAACCGAGGCCTGTATTCTTCTTGACCATGCCGTCGGTTGGGTCACCTTCCATTTCTTCCATCCACACACCGAGTAAACAGTGCATGCCGCGAGGGTCGGTGTACTGGCATGCGCAATACGGCCCAGTCACCGGATCCTAATGTGTGAAACAACGGTGCTTAACGATTTACTTCCTGTTCCTCTGCCGTAAACAAGGCGCCGAACACTTATTACTTATGCTGTGTTCCCACCAGATATGAGCCAAACGGCGAATGGCACCCGTGGTCGAACCTAAGTATCTTCCATACGTTTACCCATCTAACGGGCTAAGTTTCGCAGCCGTATAGTAGGGTTAAACGTACGGCTGAATTGTACACCCTAACTTTTAGGGAGGGAGTGATGTCGCGCCGGTGCCATAGGTGACGAAGGTTAGCAAAAGCACCTCGAGCTTTTGCTGTACGATCCGTGACCTCGTCTTCGACTCCACAAGCGCCGATACAGCTGCCTAGGTAGTTGGATTTCCTGCCAATCTCGGAGGAAATCTTTACACTTCAAAGGTGCAAAGCAAAGCCCAAACGGCTGGTAGCCAACGCCACTCTGTCTAGTGCTGCTTAACCCCTTTGTGAGCTTTCACAGATGTGGGCTTTATCGTCGGCGTGGTCCAAGTCAAGAGATCGTTCGCCTAGGAGCAGCTCCACATCTAATTTGTTTTCAGTGAACGCGATTTTCATGACTTCGTCAATAGCGACGTGGAGAAAGGAAGATAACAGCAGGCATCCCTGTATGGTATCGCTTGAGGGATTGAAGGGCAGCACCAGCTTGCCGTAAACGCACACTCTATTCGAGCCATGCGCGCAAAGCGCCGGATAATATTTACATATTTTTCGCTCAGACAGTCCAAAAGAACACATTACTTCGCTAACTAAAGGACACTTTTGATCTCGAGGAATGCGACACTAATGAGCCTTCAATATGTGGGATGATGCTCTAACGTTTGGCATAAAGAGAACATGTGATCGATGCAGCCCCGACATCGATGACACCCGACTTGCTACTCACGAATCTGGCTTTCACGAGTATCAGTCAGTCTACGAAGCATGACAGAGATAAGTAACTTGGAGGCGTTCAGACTGATTCCTCTGTATGTATGTGTGTATGCTGAGGCTGATATCGCATTCCTGATGTTTCTTCACCGCAGTTAGGCTAAACCAACTTACACTTAAGCTAGGTCTTTTTAATGTGGATAAAATTCATTACATTTTATTTGGTTTGTTCTGCGTACTTGATAATCTTCTCCCAACTTGCACACGTCACTCATGCAAATTGTGGTAAACTTGCGTAATTTTATCGTGTGGTATTTTTTAAATAACTTTCCGATATTTTGTACTTATCGCGTATTCACCTTTAACCAGTTTCTTCTATATGCTGTTTTAGCGAGTATTTATGTCGTCATATGCGTTTACTTTATTCGATATCGGCATTTCTAATGATTGGCTGTTGTTTGACGATTGTCAATAGTGCCATTGTCAATAGTGCCGTCAGCATAAACACAGCTCCCAAGGTAGACGAAGCTACCTACCTGTTCAAGTTGTGCACCGTCGAGTGAGCACGGGAGCAGGTGTAAGCCAATCCTGGAGCAGTACGTTACACTTCGATGGGGCGAAGCTCATGCCACATATATATATATATATATATATATATACATATATATATATATATATATATATTTTATATATATATATTATATATATAATGCCCCATGTCGAGGCTGAGGTTGCATTGTTGATGCTTCTTCATCGCAGTTGGGCTAAACCAACTTACACTTAAACTAGGTCTTTTGAGCTGGCTAAATTTCATTCCACTTTATTTGGTTTGTTCTGCCTACCTGAATAATCTTCTATTAACTGGCCACGTTGCTTACGCTCATTGCGCTTACCTTCGGTAACTTTGTTGCGTTTGTAGCATTTTAAGTAACTTGTGGACATTTCTTACTTATCGCGGAATCGTTGCTAACCCACTTACTTCATATGGTAATTTAACGAAGAGTTATGCCACCGTATCTGTATGCATTATTGGATTTATCTTATTTCATCTTGTCATTTCAAGTGAATGACTGTTGCCTGATATCCCCGGTGTGGCTACACTTGATGTGCATGTTGACAAGGTGCCTACCTGTCTATTACCCACTACCACGTTTAGGAGACAGTTGGTCGTTGCTGGATGGGATGAGGTGCACGGTCCCTGTGGCCGTGCTTGTGTTTACAGCGTGCTTGTGTTTACAGCGTGCTTGTGTTTGTCTGTGAAGGAGTGTGGGCCGGCTCCGTTGATGAAACGTGGCTCCCAT